ACAAGGACACGATGTCAATTTGCCATGCAGTTTGTTCTTAAGAGCTCTGTTAGAGGCTATTGATAGCAACAAGTCTAATTAGTTTTTGTAAATAAACGTTACTGAAAAAATCCAACCATGCAACCAGTATCCAAAAATATATTAAAAAAAAGAAATCATGAGGGTAATAACAGCGAATTTGCTAACATATGCTTCAGGCCTACATAATAAAGAATCACACTCTGATATTTCAGTTTTGTGTGAGGCTTAACTGCTCTGCAATTTAGCGATGTGGTGAGTGCTACTGGCTGTAATTAGAGGCTTCAGGTGACGGCCATTTATTATTTTAGAGGGTGTTTTTTATAAAAAAAACTTAAGCAGGCACAATCATTCAAGTTAATTTTTACAGGAGTGTAATTTTTTTTTAACCTTTCTTCTATTTTAAGTGATAATTTCACTTGCCTCAAGTCACTCACAGTTAAATGGCCCTCAAGAAAGAAAAATCCCCGTGTAGAAGATGAGGTAAAAAAATTGGTGTCTTGTAACCTCAGCGTGCCAGAATATATTTTATTACATTAATATTGGACCAAGGGAAAATATATAAGGACACAGAGAGTATCTGTAGATGGCTCTTGTGGATCAGGACGAATGGTCACAATACAGATTTGCGATGGAAGAGCACTGTTTTGCTCTGTTCACGGCAGCCTTTTCCTGTGGGCAGAGGGTGGCTGCTCCTTTGCCTTCTCGCGCTGCTACGGTTGGGTCAGACGCTGCTCCTTCTCCAAGCGTGTGTGGGAAGGGACGCAGCCAGCGCAGAGCCGGCAGACCCTGGGCAGGGGAGTCCCCACATCTCAGAGGCGCTGGAGGAAAAAAACCTCTTCCTAGGGACACATGGGGGACCTTGAAAAGTTTCTTGCTACCCAAGAAGCCACTAAAGAATGGCTGGATGACAGCGGGCCTGAAGAACACAACCTTGATGAAGGAAGGTTGATTTCAAACCCTTTATTCTGCCTCTTCCAGATCTGATTTTTCTCTACTACAATTCGTTTCTGTCTGTATTCTAATAGAGCCTCAAAGCCTTAAGGGTGGTTTTAGGATGCTCAATTAGAGGGAAAAGGGGCTCCATCAGCTCACTCTATCATATTACACTGAGATAACTATGATAGTGATAGAGTCCTCATTTATAAGTTGCAAAAATTAATAAGTAAACCCCTTAATTACTGTGACTTTCTAGACAGTTGAGGGAGAGCCCATTGAGGGAGATTTCATAGCATGTTGAAGTGAAAATGCACAATGTTAATTCGGCAACAGACCAACAAGTCAAATCAAACATAACTACCTCTCACCACTTCTGTGTTTAAAACCAGAGTCATTACATCAGGATAATATTTTGCCTTTCTTACCCTCAAAGTAAAGTGTGGCACCCAGGTGCCAAAACACTGGGAAATGGAGTCAGCTACATGACTCGCATGCTGTGAGGTGGGATGCTGTGAAGGTCTGAGCCACCAAAGAAATGCAATTATCATCCAGGAAATTCACTGCCTGTCTGGTCTTATTGCTGTTATATGGCTGAAATTACTTAACAAGAAAGGGAAGGAAGGTCAGAAATGCCTGCCATTTATTGGATGCTACTGACCAGTGCATGAGATATCATTAAGAGTCAATCAAAAAACCTTGAATTAGAGTCTAGCTTTCTACAGCTATCCTTATTAACCTCAGAAGAATCATGCTGTGTATAATCATATCTTGCTGGTGGTAAAGAGAGCATGGTCTACTTGCTCCCAGACCAGATGCCCTTTGACAAACTATGTGTTCATTTCCCCACATGCCACTTCTGTTCAGAGCAACCATGTGAAGCGCAGAGTTCGAGCAGAGCCTCCATCAGAGAGGCAGAGGGATAACCACATGAGGATGCTCCTTGGTATGAACAATGTCGTTGTCGAGGCTCTGTCTATACATCCTAAATTGAGACACTTTTTTTTTTTGCCTTTCACTATAAGGGTACGGGGGGATGTATGTAAAAGAAGCTCAAGCAAAGTGATTCAAAATATGAATGTACAGCCAGCTTGGACAAATTAACTTCCTTTTCCCCCCATATAAAGGATGGAAAAAAAACCCCACAAACTTTTTTTTTTTTTAAAAGTAAAACCTGTCTGTGTATTTCATACTTCTCATATCTCCTGGGTACTCAGCAGAGGTCAAATGAACTGCAGGCATGGCTGAAACTTCCACTGACTGAGAAACGTGCTTATCTTGCAGTCTCTATTATACCTCTCCAGGTCCCCAAATACCACCTAGGAACCTGCTCGGCTTTGCCTTATCTAGATAATCAGAACCACTGTTTATAATGGGCTACCTGCTCTGTAGTGCAGGAACAATTTTCCCTGTGGTTTAAGATAAGCAGCGTTTTCTGTACCAGTATTAAAATGGACTAAAACATTCTTTGTCTTTAGAATCTCAATAGCCAGAATTACACGTGCTCCGCATCGCAGTAGCCATGTGTTTGGGAAAGACATTGTTATACAGAAGCCTGTCAAAGCAGAAAGTACCATTTCTGCTTAGGCCTTAGAAGTAGAAGATACGCTAACTCTATTATAAACTACCTCCAATATTGAAAGTGGCAGTTGGGTGACAGCTCAACAGAGTCAGAGACGGCTCGGTGCAGGAAACTGCTATCTGTACAGTGATGAGACAAATGGAACATCATGGGCTTAATTTTCCTGAATCTGTACTTTCTGGCAAGAGTTCTGACAGTCATAAAAAACTTAGGCTTATCCTAAAATAAAATAAAATTCTAAAAAAACACCCACAAACAATTATCTTGGTTCAGACCACATTACATAGTAAAGCTTTAGCGCCTGCTTCTGCAAAATCAGACCAGAAATTAAGGTTCAAGAAACTACCATACGATTAATAACATCTCCCTCCAAAGACTTCATATCATAACTTCCTAGAGACAACATAAACTGTGAAAATAAAATAAACACTAAAAGAAGTCGCTTATTACTGTAGGCTAGAAAACAGGAACTGGGATACAGAGTGAATGAAATAGTGAAAATTACACCTGCTGTGTTCAAATTTGATCTTGAGAGCCACTACCATGCCAAAAAAAGAAATAATCTCTGAATCTGCATTACAACTGTGGGCACGATACATCATGCCAAATCCATTCTCAGCACCAGCCAGCCAAAATCAAATGACAAAGTCTCCTTTCTTAAGGAATATTCAATCCCATTCATTAAAAAAAAAAAAAAAGCCTGTGCAGGTCTTGCTGGGCTGAGAGCCTTAGGTATCCACATACTCCCATTGCAAGCCGCAGAACAGAAACAGAGTTTTATACATCACATGAGGGTGGACCTTCACTCGGTTTTTCTCTTTTATCTGAGAAGAGCTGAAGGATCCACATAAACGACACTGAAGCCGAGTGCTCTAATAAATTCTCCAAGATCTAATCCTGATCCTATCTGCTGCACCTATGATAACACAGGATGTTTTTCCCTTCAACATTCAGAAATCTGAGCAGAATGGAAAAGATGTCAAAGGTTGTTTATCAAAGTCACCATATCTGGTTCAAAAATAGCGAGTGGTGCTGCCTATGGAAGGTGATCCTCCAGGAGCATCATTGCGATAAGTAAATGCCAGCTTTTAACGGAAGGGTTTGACTTCAGAAAACCCATTCTCCATCTTTTTCCGGAAAAGGCAAGTGAAAAAAAGTGCAAAATAACAACAGGTAATTGTTTGTAGGAAACAGTTACAGGGGTGCGTCTGGTAGCTTTCCACACTAAATTTAACCTCTCTGTCTCACTCTTGTTCTCCAAGCAAAGAAAATCTTTAATAATCCTTCAGCCCCGCAGGTTAAGGTAAGCTGCAAGCTGACACAGAAACTGAAATGGTGAGCTACGGAGGGATCCGAAATACCTTAAATCTCCAGAATACTTGTCACCACAAGACAAGCAGATCACAGGTTACCAAACTTCCAGGTTTGTTGCAGAATCTCACCCATGGCTGTGAAGAAACTACCTTTTCATCCGCCCTGCTCTGAGCACTCAGACCAGCGCGCAGCTCCGGGAAGCCATGGCTCTATCAAGCCAAACGTTAAATATCTGCCCTCAAGCAACAGTTTAAGTAAAGCCTTTCATCTCCTCTTATTCCATCTGTTTGCGTAGCTGCGAGCTCCAGGAACCCGAACGGCGAGATCTCCATTCTCTCTGCTTGATCTCAATGCAGAGGGAGTTCTCGCTCTCGCAGCTGCAGTGCCGCCTCTTTCTCTCGCAGTGAGCAGGGAGGAGCGGAGGGCGGCGGAGGCGGCTGTTCGCCGGGGCCCTTCTATCCCAGGGTGCCATTTTATTAACTTCTCCTCTTCTTTCACATGCCGTATAATCAGCTCCACATCACAGCATTCACGGCAGACTCGGAGGCAGTGAATATTTCCGCTGAGGCTGTATAAGCGCTCTCAGATGGCTCAAAACCTGCGTGTCCTATAACTGTTCTGAGCAGCTTCCAGAACAACACAATGAACTTTTGGGGGATTGTGTTGTCCCTCCCCCTCCCCCCCCTTTATTTTTTAAATTTATTTTAAAACAAAAGGGTATTATGCAGTGCTGTAGAACTAACGGGCTTTACAGGTGATTGTACAATTTCAACACCCCGAGTATACTGCTTTGTTTCTGAATTTTCTCTAGCCCTGAACTGTCTCCTGTTGCTCTCCCAGCAGTATTTGCAAACCATTTTTTCCTGAATGGGATTAGATTCAAACTGCAGATCTAATGAACACATATAAAATTGACACTACTTTTCCGTAAGGCGAGTTTTGAAATCAACTTAGACTGATGCAAAACCTTGTCTGGATATTCCTAACTGGTCGCTTGCACTGACTTAGCTCAAGTCAAATTCATTAAGCTAAATTGATGTAAACTCAGGCTAAATGCATTCCAGAGCATCCAGAAAAGATTTTGTCCCTGTTTGGATAAAGAAATTTAAAAACTGATTTCATCAAAAAGATGTGATTTATCATGGTAAACACTGATCTTGAGAATACACATCGGGAAAGGTATTTTGTTCATGAAGTGGTAATGGTGAAATGGTTTTATTTTTCACTGGTAATGCAGGACAACACCATTCAGGGGTGTGCAATACGCAAGGGAAATAGAAGGGGAAGAAGTAGAAGAAAACAACATTTTATCACAGATGAACAGTAATCTTATTCCCACCTCAGCTTTCTTTAACCACTTGACTGACTTCTGGTGGTTCCAGTGGAACCAGGTGTATACTAAAATCACTGGTAATTTGCTTGTCAGAACTGAAGAGTATGAAAACCAAACAAGACTGTAGCTGAATAGTAAGAGGCTTCCACACCAGTAGCACACACCAAGCACCAGTGATAACCTAACTGGTGAAAAGGAGTTCCATGTTTATATTCATTTATATTCAGCAGGCATGTACAACTAACCCAAATCTCAACTTGGTAGGGGTATGTTATGCCCTATGCTCAAGATGAAAAACGCCAAAACCTGAAAGCTAAACATAACAGACAACTATGCTCACCCAGGCTGATTAAAACAGGGGCTTTAAAAATGTTTATTTAATATATTAAAACACTTGCTGTCAACACCTTTCACGCTATGTGCTTGAATATCCTCGATTAGGGTTTGTGCAGCTGTGGTTCTCATACTGAATTAATTTTGTAAATTGTGGTGAGATGATAGAAGTTTTCCAGCTGTGTAATCATTAATTAACTTGGCTGCATTTGAGTGGCTCCAACCCATGCTTATCTGTGAAATACTCAACTTAGATAAAACATCACCTCTGCCTTCTGCTTGGTGTTTCTTACAGAATGAAAACTTTTTTCCTTTTTCTTTAAAAAACAAAAAAAAGGGAAAGGGCTGCAGGATGATTTGGTAGATTAACTGTTTGCCTTTCCCATACTTTTACAATTGTCACAGACAGGGGATGCTTTGGATTTTAAGGGTTTAGGAAGAGTGCCTTTCTCTTGCTACGTGCTTATACAATGCTAGTAACAAAAGAGCTCTAGCTTGTGGCTGTAATGTAAAGTATAAAAACAGCTTTTCAGGCTTTTCCAGAAAATTCATGTAGACAGGATACTGAAGACCTGTAGCAGAAGTGAACCAGAGGAGATTTAACTGGTCACTACCCAACTCCAACTTCTTGGGCAGTGCATACTTTGTGTATTGTTATTTGCACTTGAGAAGAGCTGCCCAGTGTCTTGTCTAGGGCCCCCAATTCTAAAGGCGTCCTCTACTCGGCAACGTATTTACATCTTACTAAAACAAATATGACCCGTTCCTTAATGGAAAAAAATTAGTCAGAGCTGGATGCTGAGAGCTGTGCTACTTTATGCCCCTAAATTTATGAGAGTTAGTCAGGAGAAGCTCGGCACATTGTATTTCCTTTCAAATAAATTTGCAGTAACTTATGCCCTCATCTATTTTCTTTTTCTGGAAGTCAAAGCATATGCTATGGAACAGGAGCCATGGAGGCAAACAAGTAGGTTAAGGACTTAAATTGCAAAATAAATTGCAGTCAGAACCATTTATTTCATTATTCTTCTCCATCGTAGCACGATGATAGGAGATTAGATGTTGCAAAGGGACTTTCTGGAAGTACTCACATTTGCAACTTTCTGGTCAGAATTAGAATGGAGCAAGAGACTGAACTCTCTCTGAGTGCCTTGACATCTCTAACTACAGTCTTCTTGAAAAGCTCATTTACATCTAATTAAGCATTACTGTTTTGTTACCTTACTCAAAGACCGTTCCTTCCGCCTCTACTAGGAAAGTGTCAGTCAAATGTTCCATAATGATCCTGCCAAAGGTGGACATTTTGTCAGCAGCAATTACTGTCTGTCTCACTTTCCTCTAATAAGGTATGACTCTTCACCAGCTTGTGATTAGGCACAATAGGCAATATTTATAGTTTGTGAGTGTTGTTAAGCCACGGTGATGTACGAGCAAGGACGCCAAATCAATATATGTACGACTTAACTTCAGATAATTGTGAAGTCTGTGATAAGGTCAGGGTTTATTTATGCATGAGAATGTTCATTAACTTAGTTTTGATTCAGATGGTACTTCAAAAGAAACTAGAATTACATTTCAGAGGAAGCTTAAGTCCTGGATTTAAATAGTATACAACTTGTATTTAAAAAAAAAAAAAAAGTAACATCACTATGAGCATGGAAAGAAGAAATGTAATTTTAAAATCTTCAGACATCGGTAAGAAAATAATAACATGCACAGGGACTGGCAAAAAAGGAATCTTCTAGTTTAGAAAAGTATTAACCTAAAAGATATTCTTAATTCCCTTTGAAGATGTTGTTAAGAATGTGCTTAACTTTTTGCCTACTTGGGGAATCTCATCAGCAGGTTGCTAAATCATTTCTGCATAGGAGCCCACTGGAGCGACGAACAGTTAATTTAAAGAGGTATGATTCCTAGAACAAGTCAAGTCATAATGAGAAGAGCTGCTCACTCACACAAACTATCTAAATTCATTAATCTACAGTGGATCTCTCTGTTATTAAAACAAATTATCATGATTCTTCTGTTTTCCTTGCTGGCACCTTCAATGTATAGATTCACATGCTGAACAACCTCGCATAGGGCACCCAAAAAGACCAGAGATATTTTCCAGATACTTTCCTTTGCAACTCAGGAATATACTGCCAAATTCAACTCAAATGCACCAACTTTCTTTTTATTTCTTCTGAAAATTATTTAAGTTAAAGGTTTCTCATTAATTATGGGATTTTAAGCCTTTACCTGAGAGGACATTCCATGGCATGGATAAAGGATTGCTTTGTCATCCTCTTCCGCTCCCTGATCCAAGCAGTAGCCACTAGCTTTGCTGTTACGTACCTACAACCGGATCAAAAAGAAAACAGTTGTGTTAGAAATTAATCTATGAAGCAAGTCCAATACGGCTAAATTTTAGCCACACTACAGCTATTGAAACAACTAGTATGTAAAACTCTTCTCCGAGAAACACATGCTTACGCTCCAGATACGACAGGATGCCAACAGTGAATTTGCTCCAGGAAAAGGCATTATTTGGACAACCTGCTGTCTTTCCAGACCGTGGGTCAGAGTTATATTTTCAGCGATTACTCAAGGATCAAACCCCCATAAAATTCACTCTAAGAAACCTAGGCCAAATTTTGCTCCAAATTACCCTTGTGTAAATATAAATTTTGAACCTAGATGTTGAGAATGTGACTTCAGCAAACAGCACAGAGACGACCCAGGACTGGGGTTGGATGTGGCACCCTTTTGTTTGCCCCTCTTGCTTACATAAAAACACAAAAAGCACGTGAAAAAAAATTTATTTGAATTGAGAATATAGTATATGGTTATATACTGAAGTGACATAAAGAACATTTCTGTGAAAGCATACAGCAGTGATGAGCAGTGTTGGAAGGCTTTCAATATATTTAGACTGTGGGTTCAGAGATCCAATGAAATAAAAAATCCATGTTCCTCCCCAGACAAGAAGAATTTACAAGTCTATAGAACTGGGCTGGAGCCCTTGTGAAATTCTAGGCCTTTCTTTCTGTTCAGGCTACAAGTATTACACACATATTTTGGACATAGAAAAATCTTACAGGTATCTTAAACAAGAAGTTATTTAGATGGATATCTTGAAACAGTCAACGGGTCAGTTTTGGTTTAGACTGTGAAGAAGTTATACGGCCACCCCTGTAATATAGAGATAGCTGCTGCATGAGGTGTCGGAAAAATCAGTAAATAATCCTTCATATTATAGTGTAGGAGCATAAGAGGGAATCTGATTGGGTAAGGGAGCTCACCAACAGTTAAATTTCAGGTGGTTTATTTTATGACTTGGGTACTATAAAGGCTAAAGAAGATGAAGACAGTTTTATGACACAGCTTTAAAAAATGTGAATTGAGTCACTAGGAAACATATTTTTACTACTGTTTCAATCTGTTTCACATCTACTCAATACATTTCTTTTCCTTTAAACTCACTAAAATCCAGACATCTTTTCCTCCAGGAAAATAACCAGAAGAGAAAGTATTTAATAACAAGCTTGATGTCATTTAGGATGAAGCCTCTAGTTTTTTCATTACGGGTGTGTAAGATTGAAAGGGAACTATGCCAGTTTATACTTGCTAAATAGCTTGTGTGGCTCCATTTTATTATACATGTTAATGAATTAGATACTTGCATCACTAAACTTCCTGTTCGACTCAAGAACCCTCTACGCGACCACTCAACAGAAACAAACTTCTTTTTAGAGCCCAGCTTGCTAACCGTCTGCTATAATTGACACAACATTGGCAGTACTGCCAATGTTCTTCGCAGTTAACAGCCTTCTCAGAGCTGACAGTTACTAATAGCTCCTGTTGAATTTACTAAATGTCTTTCCTCAGTTACTGCCAGCGATAGTTATATTAGGATGCAAAGTGGTATTATGCAATAAAACTTGCACTTTGTATCAATATCTGAAGCGCCTGACTTATTTTTATATGAAGCCAATCAAATGGAACAAAAAGGAAGATCGTCCATTTAGTTGTCTCCTGTGAAAATATATTGCCTTTGGATTTAATTGTAGTTCAAGTAGACAATTAGAACAGAAACTTAAAGACATTATGCGGCAGGAGAGCTCCTAGAACTTCGCCCCGGTTCACAGTCCTAAGCGACAGCAGTCTGTATATTACAGGCACGTAATACAGATTTAAAGAGTTACAGAGGGCACGTCTGACTTCTTTAAAGATTGGGGTCAAGCGTATGCGGGAGTTTTGATTGTTCACAGAAGAGCAAGAAATGATGCAGACAGCTGAGGTGAACCAAAACGTCTACACATTCTAACACGTTTGGATCCAGCATTTTATTAGGGTTAAGTAACCTATCCGCTCAGCTACCTCCGAGTAGGTGTTCCAAGGTCTTACTCCATACCGGTACACAAGTGAAAATGAAAATACAGAGTCCGAGTGCAAAGCAGCAAAATTGTTTTTCCTCGAATGACTTTTTCACGATGAGATGAAGACCTGCCAAAGGGTAGCCTCACCTCATAATCTGAACAAGGCTATGTTGCTTTTTATCTTGAGGATGGAGGATTGCAAAAATGAATTAATAAAGTGAACATAATCCTTCAAGTAGTTTGGCAAAACCCAAAAAAGGGGTGGTTCTTTAAATAAAAAAGATTGTGCAAACTCAGCTGTTCTCATTAACTGTAATTATTTTAGCTCTCTTGACTGCTGATGTTTTCTTGATGACGTCTGCGGCATCACATTTGGCAAAACAATTACCTCAAATTTATGTACTGAGAGATGCTCTATTTTAAAATGAATGCCAAGGAGGTTGCGTATCCTCGTTAGTGATAATGATTTCATCTGGTATACTCCAATGAGAGGGACAATGGTTGTCAAAGCCACACATCTTAGTGTTGATTAAAACCAGGGGAGGGCATTTCTGTTGCTACTACTGTGCTGACTTGAAATTGCTCTGTACATGCTGGTACCCACCACTAAGATGAAAGGGCTGCTCTAACGCAGCCGTGATGTATTTTCAAAGACATACAGTACCTCTCCATAAGTGACTGTATTATTATAAACCCTCATTTCAGGATAGACATTCTCCAAGTACCACTTAAAACTCCGGCACTGCAGTCGCTGTCGTAGAGCTATTCTTTCAGAAACGTCTCCAAAGTCAACTCCAGGGTTCTACAAAGCAGAAAAATAAAGAAATCTCACTGCATTGACTTTATGGTTGTTTTCTTTACTGAAACCAAATTGGAGTTCATTTTGTGCACCAAGCTGTATTTCCCCTCTCTTCTTTCTCTTTTGTAAGTAGCAGCTCATCAAACAGCTGTTGTTGAGAGCAGACAATAAATATTAATGGCAGTCAGCGGAAAAAGAAGGATAACGAACAGGCAGAAAACAAACATAAATCAAAATAATAAGAATACAATAAGAATGTTGTTACTTACAGCAATTGTAAATGTTTGCAATCAAACCTGAACTTTCAGATTCGTTAGGAATTTAGGCGGTAATTCTGATCTAAGATATGGCAGCTTGATCGTGGTTTACTCTAGTAACAGCCTTGGGTATTCACTAATGTAAATGAGATCAGAACAGACTTGTTAAAACTTCAAAGCAGAGCTGCTCAAAAAGTCATTAAGCTCCATTGAACATTTGCATAGAGCAGCATTCAGTTTTTACTGGAACTGGAGCTCATTTGCAGACCTGACCCATAAAATGCAGTTAAACTCAAAACCTTCTTTATAATTTTACTTCAGAATTGAATTCGCATTTGAATACAAATCCCATGAAAAACACGGGCTGGAAGAGTCACATCAATACGATCAAGCCCAGCCATTTAAAAAATGCCAGATCCTGAGTTAGTGTCTGTTGATTTAAATCATTGTAAATCATCACAGTTCGACATTAAGACGGTAAGAGTTACCTCATCTAAAAATCTTTCCTGACACTGTATGAATCAAGTGGACTGAAACTGGGGAGTTTTGCATGGATCTGTCTTAAGTGCCTTGTACATTTCCTCCAGAAAGATTTCTGTACGTTCTACAAATAATGCCTAACGCAGGGTTACAAGACAGCAGCAAATCTTAGCTCAGGGTTTATTAGAACCCCCAACAGATGCCTAGTTTTCAGGAGAGAATACAACTGTAATACTGAACAGGTTTTTCTATTTGCCACATAAAGAGTTTGCTGTGCTTACTGCTGCTTGCTGATGCGCACTTTGTCATGAGCTCTCTATGCAGCATCCATTCAAATGAATGTTAATTTACGTACTACTTCAGGCTACATGGAAGGAGAGCAATTCTTGGAGGCACTCACTACAATAAATCATTCAGTGTAAGATTCCTTTCTCATGAAAATTGTTGAGGAACAGATCATAAGCAGAGGAATACCAAATATTTGGTTAACTAAAATAAAGCTATGCCGATGACCTGCTGCTGAAGGCTATAGGAACGCGATCTTGCAGACGTGTCCAAAGACGATCTGCTAAGCAAGATACGCATTATGCACAGATCCTCAATAACTTGGGAGCGAGTTGTGAAAGAGATGGTGCGAGTTACAAAAGGGTTAATTTGGATAGGTTTTGGTATGGGAGAAAACATGCATTTTACTTTCCTCGTTTTCACCCTGTTCTGAAATGAGGGCGCCCAGAGCCCTGTTTGCAGCGCCCTTTCTGCAGAACCCAAGAGGTGCAAATTAGGCAGCTATGAAAATCCTGTGCTGACTTCTGCATTACTTGCAGTCATCATGTGTGGGTTACAGTGTGATGGTACAAGAATGAGGTCTCCACAGAATTTAGTACGTGGACATACTCTTTTTTAATCACGCAGTAAGGTTTCTAGTTCCGCAGAAGGTTTTTCTTACGGTTTATAACAGCACGGTACTTCTTAGTCATCTAGATTGAATGCTACAGTGGAATAACTCTCTGAACACTATCACTAGCTTCCTTTTCCTGAGAGCTAATGGGGTTATTTTTACGATGCACATTTTATCAATCAATTTATTTTATAGAAAGAAAACTTTTATATTCAGTACTTCTGCTGATTTTATGTCTCTTAATGTAGATGTGCCTGTTGTTTTTTTTTTTTTTTTAAAGCACTGCTGTATAGCTCAGTGCAGAAAACTACATCAGTAAGTAATCTCAGAGAGATTAAAGGAAATTATGCTTTGGTGTAAATGCTTATTTAAATATCTTGTCTTTTCTTAGAATTCATTTGCAGATGGCATAGAGCAAACAAATTTACCAAGGTTAGTTTTTCATCTCCTATTTGAAACTGGCCATTTTATCAAATGGATGCAGACAGGGCCAAAATGCCCGTAAAAACTTCAATGGACACTGCTTTGTCTTCCTCCTACTACCTTGGAAATCTTGTATGGGAAAGAAGTTATGCAGTGTTGCCTTTCATTAAGGCAAGATAATTCTCTGCAATTGCCTCTTGTGCCAAAAGAAATCACCAAAACACATCTTCATAGAGACCTTGCTTAGAGAGTCCGATACTGAAGAGCAGACAGTGAAATTTGGACATGTGTGAACATCTGACATATTCAGACATCAGATGGAGAAGAATAAAACATTGCTCCATTAGGTATATGTATTTTCAAAACTACAACAGGAATAAACAAAAAAAGGTTTTTGATATATTACCTAGGTATCAAGGTACAAAGAGACATTTAGGACACAGACTAAATCCGATGGAGTCTTAGGCAAGACGCCTGTGACCTCGACAGACTCTAGGTCATAGCTGAATATTCACGAAGACACTGCTGGGTTGGCATATTTTCCTGTTCAACTAGGAACATTCCTGTTTCCATTTACTTCAATCAGCTTTGAACAAACCCCTCCTATAAGGGTTAACTAACCCACCATTACCTACAGAACAGAGTCCGCTTCCTCTCTGCTCGCCTTGTGCCTCTTCACATGAATAATTTGGATGCAAATACACTAAAGGATACAGCAGCAGTCAGCTTCCACCTGACTGGGATGTAACATATATGTCTTCTCTCCAAGAATTATGCTCAGCGGAGATGTAGCATGTGATATACTTACAGAATGAAGTGATAAATTGAACCTACAGTTTATCTAATATTTATATTACATGGATTCCTAGAGGCCCCCACATGCCATCTACAATTCATATGCACAGTAAGAAACAGAACGTGGCCACATTGCAACTCTCAGCCTGTAGACAAAGCTAGTTAATGTGTGATTCTTTTATTGCGTACTTTCTTTTTCATGCTGGTGAGGTCTACTGAGTCTCACGATGAATGATGATATTTATGGACATTCCTGTAGTCCTCACTACTGTAGCATATGAACACCTCAAAGTTTAATGGCAACCCAAATTAACGACGACTTCTGAGGAAGCGCATAAACCTGAAACGTCGTGCTCTAGTTAAATTATAAATCTGTGTCACCACTCCTGAGCACACAACAAAACTTACAGCGAGGAAGCAAGTTTACATGGCAGAACTCTGCGTATTGAGCACACAGCAGCATGAAAGCACTCTTCCCCCTGAGCTTAGCCCACTTCATATGATTGTACTAATATCCCGCACCTCCAAGAGCTAACGAGGAACAGCCATCCACGTTTCTGCCTCTGCTCAGGAGAGAGCGTGACCCGTACTTACTGCCATGGGGATGTTCCACGCCATGTAAACATGCGACTTGAAGTCATCCATCCAGACCTCCGCGGCCCGCAGGGCGTTGCGCTTTGCATAGTAATCGATGTCATTGTTGTAGGGTTTCTTCGTGCGTTCAATATGTGCCACGCGAGAACAGGGTAACACCTCCATGCTTCCTCCGCACTGCCAGACCTGCGAGAATTGGAGGAACAACAATGACATGATTTTTATTTTTTTGTTTGTTTCTTTTTAAGGTGCTTTTCCGATGCCATATGGAGTGTTCCCTACGTGGAGATGGGCACCATCAAACAGTTCAGAATGATCACCCGATTTACCTGCTCTGGGGGTGAAACCCCCCTCTCTCCACAGTAACTATGGATGAGTCGGAGGTGAATGCACCTGACTGTGTTGGGTACATAAGTTTAGGTGCCAGAAATACCCAAGTCCTTTCCCTTAATGTCACTGTTCTTGGAACCATTAGACAGAAGACAAATTATAAGGCGGTAACCTCTATCATAGGGATTAATTTAACCCAGCGCTTGTTACTGAAACTTCAACAAAATTCAGTTGTATCATCTGGCTGTGTTTGGCACTGTGTATGTGGGGGTTGCTCTATCAGCTCTCCAGATCAACTAACAAACTTTTAATAGTTTAAATGTGACTGCCAGAAAAATCTGATACACGTTTAGTGCATATAAGCTTGATAGGGAATTTGAACATTACCTTTGGGAAATGGAAGGAAACAAATTACCCACAAGCACAATACCAGCAGAAAAAAAAAGAATGGAAACACACTTATTTTCTCATTATGGAAACTTAGACTTTGATTGTGTCAATTATTCCTTTCTTTTTCTAATCTAGCCCCTGCAGGCTCCACTGATTTTCAGTGCAGCGATTCTCCCTTCACAAACATGTTTCGCCCGACCTACAGTGAGAAACAAGCACTGACTGACCTGGGACAGGACGTCCCATGGAAATTTTAGCCATGAATACGCCACATGTCTTGGCACAGGATGCCCTGGTAAATCCAGCCATTAACCAAAATGTGCGTTTATTTAGCAACAGAGGTTACTGCTGCACTCGGTAGTGGATGTGAACACCGCAAACGCATTTCTCACCCCGTGCTCCCACCGCCGCTCACCGGCCGGGCAGAGAGCAAAGGAGAAACCTCTGGTGCAACTGTTCTGTATGCCTTTACCTGCAGCCCGGTCACATAAGACGGGAGAAGCGACCACTTATCTCGCTACCCCTGAGCTGATGAAGATGGATAAAAGGGGCTGAGCGGAGACGGCATCACCCAGCCTTCCCAGACACCACTGTACCCATACTCGACAATTTTTTCCTGTTGATTATTTAGTCTGAACTCCATGGTGGGAAACGAAGAGGACTTGTCTCTTTGAATCACAGAGATTAGGAACGATGCAGGGTGAGCAAAATTCATGCATTTCAGTTCCCTCAGGTCTGCACCTAGTACTATAGTCTAGCCAAAATAAATGTAGATATTAAAATATAAGCAATAACCCATTGCTTTCCAAGGCTGCCTTTTACTGACCATAACAGCTCATTTCCAGACAAGATGTGCTCCAGAACAATACTGGGGCAGTTCTCCACCTAGCCTACCTTCTCAGGGACAAAGATAAATTGCTTGGGAAGTAGCAGACAAAATCTTCTCCCTCTGGTTTAGCTTTTTTTTTTTTTTCTCTTAAATAAAAAAATACTTTTTTAGGTGATATTTATTTGCTGCTTTCCAAAGAGTTCTGTAGTAAATCACTGGCCACTGGAATTTGCATTTGATAAATAAAAGACACTGAAAAACACACTGCTCATAAATTTGGACTGACATATGCTGAAGGTTTCCAGTGCAAAGGGGAAGTGCTAGAAAAAAGAAATGAATTAATTGATTTTCATGATCAGAAGGGGAAATGAGCAGTACACTTTATTACACTGCTATTTGCCCAGCCCACCCTGGAAATCAGCTGTTTAATGCATGGCACATTTTTCTTTCTATTGATATGGCTAATGACCTTGTAATTTTTATTTATATATTTCGGTACCAAGGGTAAATACATTATCTGAGTGACAGATTTATTTCCTTCAAACGCCAGTGATCACGCAAACCTGAAAAAAAGGTACTAAACTGCAACATTAATGGAAACAGTTTAGCTCATCTGTAAATTCAACACAAACAGTTGTTTATCAGTGATAAATTCTCCCCAGATGAAATCCACAGGGGACTCAGACACCTGGCTTTGAAGAAAACACAACCAAAAAAGGCAGCAGCAGCCTCGGGGCCGGTAACGCTCTCCCCAGCAGGCGGGATCTCCGCTCCGCACTCAGCGTGAATTCCCACTGCGGTGTGACCGCCCCATCTGCAACCCTCTAGATCGCTTTACATTTACATTCACTCACTCCCTTCCCCTACCCCTCACCCCATTTTGCTCTTTAAAGAGGTAAAATCTGCTGAAGAGTAAGAAGGAAGGAAACAGCCAGGAAAACATAAAGGAAATTTTCCTTCCTAGGAAGATGCTAATTTACCCCAGATGACTTGTTTTTCCTGGGAATACGTAACTTCTTACACCAACGGGGAATGTTTCCCAGGGTAAGGATGGGATTTCCAATCCCAGAGAAGGAGAACTGGATGTCCAGCCCGTGGGGTGAGGAGGCAGTTAGATGATCATCGTGTATCACCAGGCGTACATCATCGCGCCACCATTTCTCCATATCCCAGACAAATGCCATGGCTGCTCAACTATGGGTCGTTTCTTCTCAGGCCAGACATGGGGTCCTGTTTCGCTTCATAGGATTAGTTGCTGTTCAACGGAGTGTGGACATGACTCTGTGTCCCAACCTCTTCCACCGCACTGCTAAGTACAGAGTGAAGCTCGTCCTCTCCCTTTCCAGCCCAATGATTACTTAATCTTACACAAAATGAAGGAGTTTCAGTAGACAACCAAGCATATGCACCCAAAACCAGTCAGGATCCCAGTGGTTAAGAGCAGTCATGTGAGATTTAGATGAAGACTCAAGACTTGTGTCTGAATCAAGAGGATGGGGAGGTTTAGCAGCGCCTTCTCCAGGCTGGACATGGAACTGAAAGACATGTGTGATTCAGAAAGCCATTGTCTGTGTGCCTCTAACTGCAAGAAGACTCTGAAATACAATGAAGGATGACAGGCCGAGGAAAATTTTACTATGTGAAACAGAAAAGAGAGAGTGTGCAGTCAGTGGCTGCCCCCAAAAGTGGTTGATTCTTCTCCTCTTTTAATCCTCAAAACTGTATTTAAGGACCCATTTTAACAGTAGCGAATAACTCATTTCTTTCCACATCTAACTGTGAAATTATTTCAGAAAAATAATTACATGCATCTATATAGCATTTATCAAGCAGAGTTCTTAAACTGCTCCCTTACTATGGGAAGCAAACTATTTCTACCTGAGCATAAAGTGATGCCCGCGTCCCTCTAAATTGACATGTTTCAAGCAATCGGGGGAAACCAACTTCCAGATCTACGACTCATCTTCTGGGATAATACCACATTTCCAACCCAAGTAAGTCCTCTCACACTGAGTTGCCAACATTAACTGTGTGTTTCAAAGGTCATTTACAGAGAACGTGGAATTTGAAGGGTCTCTCTGAGCTCCCTACAAGGGTGGACATCACTGAAAAGCCCACTCGGCTTTCTGTTCCCCCCATGGAGAGGCAAATCCCCGGCAGTAAATGCTGTTTCTGGCATCACAGCGTGCACTCATCAAACCCGTCTGGTGGGGCAGCAGCCCAGGCTCCACTGAAGGTGAGGGAGATGGAGGCTCCAAAGATGCCCTGGGCAGGCAGAGAGGTGGCTCCGCTGAGCAGCAGCACGGAGAAGCAAACGGGCTTCTGCTTCGCGTGCTCCTCGGCTCAGCGCAGCTGCTACAGCCCAGGGACTCGGCTTTGCCTCCGCCAGCGTCACGCTGTGCAACGCTTTAAGACATGATCAAGTAATTCCAAGAGACACTCAATTTATTTGCTAATTGTAGTTAATTTCTAATTTCAGTATTGCTCTTTAGGCTGCTATAAACAAAATTGATAGCAATATAAATGTTACCATCGCCGTGTTACCTTAGCATTTTTACTGCTAATTATCTCAATCAACTTTTCTATAAACAGACGTATTAAGTATTAAGAAGAACAAGTACCCACATCAGGGGTAAATTACAAACGGGATGATAATGTTTCATGGTTTGCGCTACAATGATTTACTGGCACTAATTATTAGCTATTCCTGCACACCTGAGATATGGCTGTCCTACAGAAAAGCGTTTACCATTTTTTGTACAGTAGTCAGTCAGACATCATATTCTATGCATCAAACTGAGATGAGACAGTGTCTTGTCCACCATGACCTAAACTGGGCATCACCAAAGTTCTCTGAATGCAGGTTGGGTACATGATTTTAAAAGGCTAATAAATTACTATGCTTTAACTCTTGCCAAAAAAGAAGTTTTGTGAGGAAATAATTTTTTCCCCACAAACACTTGTTGCCAAAGGTCCAACCTATCATTTTTAATAGGACTTTTGAAAAATATTGGTTTCCTAAAAAAGAAATATAAATTTAAATCCAGAAAATGTCTTAAAACAACTGTTTGGGGTTTTTTTTTGGATTAAATTATTACCATCCTAAAAAGGAAGTGCAGTTTCAAACAACAACAACAAAAAAAAAAACAAAAAAAAGAAACATAAAAGAAACCCAACACTTTTGACCAAAATCCAAGTATTTTGGGAACGAAGAAAGGAGGTGAGATGAAGTGAAATGTAAAATTCCATCAACCAAAGAGGTCAAACAACAAGCCCGGTCACCGCTGAAGCAGGACGCAGAGCTGGCTGCGCTGCGGGGCTAATCAATCCTTAAGTTATGGCAATATATATACAGAACATTGCTGACGTGGCCTCCAGCTCTGCAGGCGAGACCTATTCCCAATAGCATCATGCCCTGCTGAGTGAATGTCACAGCTCAAAAAACGTCACGGGATATAATACCGGGGCGTTTGGAGCAGGGCAGCCGCAGCTCCCGCGCTCGCACTGATCGCAGGGAGGGCTCCTCACGCTCCACGGGCTCTGTAAATGGAAACGCACCTCGCGTTACCTTCAGCTGCCCCGATTTTTGAAAATTCAAGTTTACTGGCTAATGAGGGAAATGATTCATGCCAAAAAT